TAAAATTATCACAGCATTTTAAACTAAATACTTTTTATAAATGTGCTATTTATAAATAATAAGTTTTGGAAAATTAACATATATGTTGCCCACTGCTGCATCTTCTCTGAATTATGTGATTACATACACTGATCAATTTGATTACATACACTGATCAATTTGGGTTTACTGATTGTGACTTCTCAGGGAGAACTTGGAGAAATTGAGGCATTGCCTCGTCCATATCAGTTCTAATTCTGTATTAGATCATCAGGTTAACCAAAGAGGGTGAAAAAATGTGTTGCATAGCATGGACTAATAATAGGAATGTTATTATCAGTTTGCAGGTGAATTTTTTTTTTTCCAACTCTCTTCTCACCTCTGTTAGTTCTGAGTAAGAAAGCAAGCTCATGTTATAGTCCACCCCACTGTTACCTTAGCACTTTTCTTACTGCAGTTGCTGGTGAAGTTGGGCTGCTATGTCAACACCTCGCAGAAATCCCCTTTGCTTTCACACCTGGTTCTCTTCCCACCAAAGTAATGAATTTCTGTATTGAAAAAGAAGCTGAATTTTCCCTTGAGATCCCATTAAAAGCCTCTTAACTCCTCAGAGGTCAGCTGTTCTGTGCTGCCATTTAAATGAATGGAAATTAAGAGGACTCAATCCATTGAAACTTGGGAAAGAAAAGAGGAAGTTTATCAGTATTGAAAGATTTTAAAGTGACAATTGCAATGAAAGTTAAATTTATACATCTCAAAATTAAGGTATTGTATAATAATTAATTACATTTATTAAAAATTATTCAAAGAAAAAAGTCCTAATGTTAGTATCTTCCCTGTTTTTTCTTTCTCCACAGGGAGCTGAAGCCTGGTGAAGAAGTGACATGGAAATAAAAGCTGATGATGAAATGGAAAACATTTTTGTTTGATTCATCATCTTATCTCACATGTTGAAAGAACAGGATTATGGTTTTCACCTGGAGAGGATACTACAGAAAACGAACACTGCAGTTCATCAGTGCTAGTTTAATTTCCAATCTTACTTTTTGAAGTTGATTTAATTACATGACTAATATGTCATTGACTATTGGTCCATAAGTGTTGAGAAAATTTTGTCCCCTACTCCAGAAGGGAGAAGAATTATGTAATAAAGAAAAACTATGCAAAAAATCATTTATGTGGTCATTTATCTGTATGGTATGAAATCCATATCTTTATAGCTAATTTATGAACTAGCCTTCAAAGGAATACTTACAGAATCATAGCATTAATGAGGTTGGAAAAGACTCGGGTCATCAAGTTCAACCTGTGACCTAACACCACCGTGTCAACTAGACCATTACATTAAGTGCCACGTCCAGTCCCCTTAAACATTTCTGGAGACAGTGACTCCACCGCCTCTCTGGGCAGTGCATTCCCATGTCTAACTACTGATTCTGTGTAGAAATTCTTCCTCACATCTAACCTAAACCTCCCCTGGCACACAGATCCAGGTTGTGGTTGAGTTGTTTGGGTTTTTTAATGGAACTGGACACATTTCATTACAGATTCCCTCTGTAGGCTTGGAACAGCAGCACGTGGGTACTGCAGCTTTGCGCCCACGGAGATGTTCTGTCTGAGTCTTTGTGGGATGTTGAATCTCTCCCTTAGTGTTCTGTTCCTTTTGTTTTGAACTAGGTCAACTTATTTTTTCTCCTCTTCCACAAACTTTTTTAGTTCATAAGTCGCATTCATTTGTACCATTGGGACAACGCTCTGATGCGCGTGGTGTGATGCCCTGCGCAGGGACAGGAGCTGGCTGATCCGTGTGGGTGCGTCCCGGCCCCGGCGGTGCAGTGACGGTGACAGTGAGGATCGGGCGGGGGGTGCTGCTGCTCGCCGCGCTCGGTGCGGAGGCTGAGCGGAGCCCGCTGTGCCGCCGGGGCTCGGGT